CCCTTTTTGGGGGGGGGGGGAGACCATACATTCTCCAACAAATATCTATTCAAAAATTTATTCTCCCCAAAATTTAATTTTAATAGAGACCAAACAAGAGCTTAATATGCTAAAACCAATAACTTTACTAAATTAGTTACTTTAGACAGTAACTTGAATAAACAAAAATGAAAAGATTAAAATTTGTAAATTTCTTATATATACAATTATTATTTTCATCAAATACGATTTCGGTCAATGTTTGTTACATGCTAGCATATTATAAGTTGTGAGTCTTATGGAATATATGAATAAAAGTAAATAAAAGTTGTGAGGTCCACAGAACGTATGGTTAAAACCGATGTTTGACTAGTTAACTTATATTAGATTATAATTTAAGTTTTATCAAACGTAACTCAAGTATCAGCTGTAATTACATGGATCGTTATGATTTGACTGGAGATCAAGCCTCTATTTGGTGGGGATTGAAATCAGATTTTTAGTATATCTTGTTAAAAGTTGATCAAATATGTAGTTGAAAAGTTGTAAATTCCACAAACTGTACGAATAACATCAATTGTTGAGTTAACCTAAATTAAAAGTTAAAAATTCTAAATATATACTAGAAGAATTCGGTCTCTGCCCATCAATAGCCAAAAATGTGCAAAAATATGTTCAATAAATGGTTAGCAAACATGCCATGTGAGCTGCCGTGCAGCATACATGGTCAGGTATAAAATCATGTACGCATCTAATAATTGTAACATTAACTTGGTTTAGTTATCAAATTGATTATATTCTATGTCAAAAATAATAACTAATTTTGACTATACATTTTATAGAATCCACAATTTTTAACTACATATTTGAAAAAATTTTAATCAAAATTTTGGTTTATCAGAATCAAACAATGGCCTAATATATTAGTCACATAGATTTGAGTTTTAAATTCGGTTTTCTTTATTGAAGTAGAGAATTTATCTTGAAGAATGACTCCATTTTTGCTAATAATTGGTTTTATATTCCAGAATGAAGTGATCAAGCCTACAATTGATGGATTTTTGAGCCTCATAAGATCATGTGCTAAAGCAAAAACTGTTAAGAGAATAGTGTTCACTTCCTCTGCTGGAACTGTAAACGTTGAAGAACACCAAAAATCAGTCTATGATGAAACCGACTATAGTGACATGGATTTCATATATTCCAAGAAAATGACTGGATGGGTTAGCTACTATTTTATTTATTTATTTTTCAAATATTTAACATACAGTATAAAAAAGAATCACATTATGCTCATATTTTCTTGGACATTTTTCTGCAGATGTATTTTGTTTCCAAAATTTTGGCGGAGAAAGCTGCGTTGGAAGCAGCTAAAGAGAACAATATTGGTTTCATTAGCATTATACCAACATTAGTAGTTGGTCCATTCATCACGCCAACCTTACCACCAAGCCTAATTACTGCTCTTTCGCCAATCACTGGTATATTAATACACATAATTTTTCCAGAATACACAGAACATTGATTTTTGTTAATCTTTTTCCTTAGGGAATGAAGCACACTACTCGATCATTGCGCAAGGTCAGTATGTGCATTTGGATGATCTATGTGCGGCTGAAATATTCTTGTATGAGTGTCCTAATGCTGAGGGAAGATTTATTTGCTCTTCTCATGATGCAACCATTTATGATTTGGCAAAAATGGTTCGAGAGAAATGGCCTGAATATGATGTCCCTACCGTGTAAGTCTCTATTGTATTTCCCTTTCTATAGATGCCTGAACCCTGGACAAGTTCATTTAAATGCGTGTTTTAACTGTATCTATGGTCTAGACACGATATACTTAACCAGCATAAAGCTGATAATTTGGACATTCACTGAACAGCATAGTCAATAGCCATTCTGATAGTAACCCACTACACTAATATTATTCTCAAGTTGCCAAGGAATGAATAAACAGGTTTGACGGCATTGATAAGGACATAGAAGTGGTGAGTTTCTCCTCCAAGAAGCTGATAGAAATAGGTTTTACTTTCAAGTACACATGGGAAGACATGTACACAGGAGCTATTGAAACATGCAGAGAGAAGGGAATGCAGCCATATTCCACTATAAACCAACCCAAGGAATGAGACAAGGAGTTGCTTCTCGATTCCGAGAAATTCCATGCCCATGATCAAGAGAATGATACAAATGGCAGGGTGTAGAATATAACAAAAAAGGTCTTCTTTTTCTGCTTTGTTTGTTGCCCCGATGTGTTTTTGGGTGAAGATCATGTGTGGTTTACTTTGGAAAAATGGTTTAAGTGCAACTTTGAGCTCATACTTGATTGATTGGGATCCATACTCTGATTTAATGGGATAAGACATTTACCTGCTATTTTCTGAGATGATTAACATGATATATTTATTTGTTGAACATCATTTTACTTTGATTCAAAATCACCATTTGGAATTTTAAATAAGAGAGAATTTGATTGTATTGCTAACTTTTGTCCCACATGGAAAACTCTGGAAAAAATTGTTCGATTTATATGGTGGGAGGAGTCCCAACGTTCTTTAGCAGGAATGTGATTAAATTCTATTGGGTTCGGTCCTAAGCCCCAAGTGTGCACATTCGACAAGTGGGCTAGGCAAGGATCCGGGACCATCAAATTCTTGGGTAATGAATGAAATCATTTCTGAAGATTTTTTTTCCCTTTCTAAATTCTAACCATTGGTTGTTTTTACAAAATTTTTCTTGATTAACCTTACAACGCTTGTGATCGATTGCAATCGATGTCTATAAATAACTGTAAAAGATGCCTCACATTTATTTGTTTCGAAGACTATCTGAACATTCACTGCGATCTTGAAAAGTCTTGTAGCCTGTTTGAATGATCACAGATAAATCTACAATTAACATGAATTTTTGCCAAAAAAATTATGCCATTTTCAAACGGAAAAATTCCTTCTCTGAATCACAATTCTCTCTCTAAATTTTGATACTTTAAAGAGTACAAAAACCCAACATTGAGTTCGTTGCAACTCTTACAAATTGTTGTGCTAGTTCGTGAAGACATGAAATTCTTTCCATCCTATGTAATGATTTCTAGTTCTTTTAAGTACCATATGAGGGAGCGGAATCGTTTTAAGGATATATCGTGTAATAGGTGGGCTCTAATAATAATCTTGTTCGTATTTCGATCCCGTTGATCATCATATTCTTGTTTTGATCTTGTTGATTATCCTGCCCTATAATCTGCAAGAGTAAGTATTTCAGATTTTTGAAGGAGAATGTGATACTCCAGAAGCAACAATTTAATTCTCAGAGAGTTTTGTACTTCATATAGGCAATGAATAACAATTGATATATCTATATTTCAAACCATTTCCGAAGATAAATTCGAGATCTTTAACATTTTTATAGCCTTCACGTTGAAAAGATAACTTCCTTTCAAAAAATAAATTTGGAACTAGAATTGAGAGCCGTCTGGATCTGGGTCGATTTTTGGTTCCTGAACCAAAATTGTAGGTAACCGAATGAAACCAATTTTATATATTATTTTTTATTTACAATATTTGTCTAGGAAAAAAATATAAAACCTAATAACCCTAATTTGGATAAAATTCTAGAATCTAACCATAAGAAATCAAAATTGGCTCTTACTATTTTGTCTCTCACACATCCAATTGTTGCATTCCAGAGGCTAGTAAATGTTAATTTTTGCAATTTGGGCTTTTTATAAATCAAAAAGTTTAATTTAGATCGTGTTATAAGTTGATGAATCAAAAAGTTCATTCTTTGCAATTCGAGTTTTTTTATTTTATTTTATTACATTGTTTACAAACTTAAGTGGATTTGAACTTTTTTATTCTGTGTGACAGTTGAACTTATATATTCGTAGCTTCGGTTGTGATGTACCTTTTTAATTATTTTAAATTCGTGATTTTCTTTGTTTATTCAAACATAATGAGTTCAATATATGAATTGCAATTTCTTGATACTATATCGTTACGTAGCTAATTAGTTTTATTTTTTATTTTTTATTTCTATTTGTTTTAAGAATAAAAGAATTTAAGCATTGTCCATAATTAAATTATAGATTCTAGCATGCCTTACTAATTATGTATCAAATAATATTATTAAGAAAACAAAATTTCTTCTCAAACTGTAATTTAAATTTTGATACTTTAATTTTCTACTCCTTTCGTAATTTTTAGTCTCCACTATTTTGTTTCTTGAAAATTTCTTAGCTGGATTTTCTCCCTTTCACAAACTTTGTCGAGTAGGAGCATGTTAGGTTTATGTATTTATAGAAATGTTTATTAATGTATATAAAAAAATTATGGGTAGAACTGAACCCGAACTCAAATTGGTTGCTCGAATTTGAGTTTGGTATAGCAATTACAAGGACCTGAATAGTTCCATTTACGAAATATTCGAAATATAATGGATGTTCTGGGTATTGAAATACTCAGACAGATCCACCCCATGCCCAAGTCTAGGCGAAAAAAAAAAGCCTAATAGAATTGTTTTCAACACAAACACCTATAGGATGTTTGGAGGAAGCAAGCATGTTGGTTTGGGCAGCAAATAGTCCCAAATATTTTTCAACGTGAAGATAAGGAAACGTTTTGTTATGATCAGAGTTTGGTGCTCCATTTTGTTTATTTTTAATATTATTGTGATTGCATTGTAAGGCAATGCAGATGTGTGGATGAGTAATTTGTCATTCCTAGGTGAATTTAT